AAAATAAATCAGACCCTAAAACAAAAAATTAAAAAGCTATGCGCAGAGAGCGGGTTAAAATGGACTAAGATTCTCCCACTGGCCCTTATGTCCATCAGAACCACCCCCCAGGAGAAAACTAAAGCTCAGCCCTTACGAGCTGCTGTTTGGACACCCTGTTCCCCAACATTTCCCCTTACTACCGGCTCACACTTCTTCTCTTTTAGGCGATGAAGGACTCACCTCTTATATTTTATCTCTACAGTCTCAGTTAAAATCTCTCCATAGGTATGCTGCTTTAAGCCAACCCCTCCCTGCCGATGTCCCAGCACATCGCATCCAGCCTGGAGACTGGGTATATATAAAAACTTGAAAACGGTCTCCCCTTAAACCTAAGTGGCAAGGACCGTATCAAGTCCTCCTCACCTCCCACACCGCCGTAAAGGTAGCAGAAAAGGACAACTGGATTCATTATACTCGTACAAAAAAAACCAGAAGTCTCACCAGAGCTCAGGATCGGCTCCAACGCGAGCTTCCCTGACCTGGAAAAGGGGAAGCCAGAAGAAGACAACTGCGGACTTCGTGGGAGCACCGCACGCTCACCTGACCGCAACAAGGGTGAGCCAGAAGCAGCCGAAAAAATAAAAACAAACACCTCCTGGACCTGCAGCCCGTTAGATAACATAAAACTCAAACTAACCAAGGTCCACTAATGAACTGTCACCCTTTTGGGGTCCTGCCCAGCCCAGAGAGCACCGAACTCCAAGTACTGCATCCTCTAGACACTTTTGGATCAGCTAAAACAGAGCACTTTGAGACTGTAAGATGTCCCAGAAGACCAGTTATTGGAGCTGCAGGGTTGTGCATACTGTTTGTGCTGATTTTTGTTATAATATGGTTTCTATAACTATGTTATTTCTAATCTTTCTCTTTGCTGGACAAATAAGTCTCTCACAGGGATCGGCTATAGCTGCCAGTTGCTGCAGATGTGCTAATCCTGGTGCCCGAGGTTTTCCTGTCTGGATAAGTGATTCAATCAAACTCTCTGATATAGACAGGAAGGTCAACATTGCCCGACGGTATCCTCCCTCACATTGCTGTAGTTCAACAAAAGTTCGGGTATTTACTTATAGAACAGAATATCGTGTAAAGCCTAGCCACCCAGTTTTCAGACAATTTGCAGAGTCTCCTCAGGCTAAAACTACTCTTAAACCTACTGTTGCCCATATCTCTGATAATAATATATACCTCCAATACGTTGAGAGAGCCGCTAAAGCAGAAAACCAAAGTGATTGTTGGGTGTGCAGTCATTTTCCTCTCCACACCCAAGGAGGCATTCCCACGACTCCCATCCCCTTGGGCCCCATCGAGTCACTTTTAAACCCCTCTAATAACCAAGCTTGGGACCAAAGTCAGCAGAAATTCCTTTTGGTAAAGCCTGCTGTTGGAGATTGGTGTTTCTATATAAACTGCTCAGTATCAAACTGCATTAATTTAGGCACAAGCATATGTCACCACTATTTTACTAGTTCAAGTGGAGGAGACTGGCGTAATAATAACACAGCAACTCCTACCTATTGCAGCTCTTACAATGATTTCTACAGCAGCAAAAATTTAACCAAAAACACTAATCCTATCTACACCCCCATCTCCTCTTTAAATAATACCTTGTGGTATTGTTTATACACCGACACCTCCCGGGGACAATGCTTCTTTAATGAAACTGCAAATCCTTCCTTTAAATCAAAGGGTAAACGCGGGGTGCTAGGATTAGGAAACGGGGGCCGAATACCTCCTAAATATTCAAACCTCGCTGCTTTAAAAGGACAGTACTGGGTCTGTGGCTCCCACGCCTACCATAAAATCCCTGCCAAAGGAAAAGGTATCTACTCTCCCGCCATGCTAAAACCCTCTACGTCCTTCGCCACGCACCTTCCACGGGGCAGGTGGCGAAACAAGAGGGATTTACAAAAAAGCCGTGATATAATAAACAAATATCAAAAAACTCCGCTTACCACAGGAGTATTAGTCGGGTGTTCTTTAGCAGGTATACTCCCAGGAATAGGCACTGCTTGTCTTAAAAGATTTACACTACGTTTGCAAGCTGTGATAAAAATCATGGCTCATAAATTCAGTGAAGGTCACAAGGAACTCTCGAAGGCCGTTGCTGCCTTGGCTGACACCCAAGAAAAACTCCAACTAATGATAATTCAAAACCGTATAGCCCTTGATTTTCTCCTTGCTGCTCAAGGAGGAGCTTGTGCGGTTATTGGACCAGAATGTTGTGTTTGGGTTAACAGTTCTTTTACAATAGTACAAACCCACCTCAATGATGCAGCTGTCCATATCCAAAAAGCCGAAGATATAGCTAAAATCCCCAAAGACACATCTCTTAGTTGGCTCACTAATTGGTTGCCTTCCCTTACAGGATGGCTTAGACCTTTTGTATTAAGCTTAATCGGAATTGTTATAACTATAATCTGCCTGTTGTGCTGTTTTCAGTGTCTGTGCTCTCTAGGACAACAGTTTATGCAAAGGCAAGTAAAAATGTATGGTCAGTTTGTACAAATATCCAGCATCAATCATCAAAACCTAACCCCACAAGAAGTTAAATACCTAAAAGTGTGTTCCAAAATTTCCTCTAAAAAATTGAAACAAAGGGAGGAGTTGTAGTGCGCAGGTTTGTTATTACCCTAAAATAAAATAGTTTTCTGATAAGCATACTGTTAGGTTTACAATAATTTAGATTATTAGGAAGTATTAGCTTTACAGCTGAATACAAGGCATGACCTGTGGCCTAGCAATGCAGCTGACCACAAGGCAGATTGATAGCTAAGCCTTTGCTTGTGTCAAGTAATCATTTTAACTGTATTAAGCATTTTCTGAGTTAAAAGCAGCAAGTATCTCTGTGTCTGTGTGCTGAAAAATCAGCTACAGCAAGAAGTAAGATAAGACAGGGAAACCATTGTTCTGGGTGCACTGGTTGTGTCCTTGAGAAGTATCTACTACTGTGTAAGGTTTTGCTAACATATTATAATGTTACTGTTACTTAACTTTTAGCTTTTTAAAAAGTGCTAGTTCAGCTTAATAAAAATATGCTGTTACAAAGATTTAAAAAGCACCGCCCAAAATATTGCTTTTTTTGTTAACCATAAAGTCTTGCCTTGTTATAATAAGTATAAAAGATCACCTCACCCTTAGGGGGGGGCCATTTTGCCTTTTGCTGGCTTTATGGTCTTTGCTCGAGCAAATAAACAGCTGTCTTTCTTTACCTGCGTTGTCTGTCAATCAAATTACAGCTAGACAACGAACCTTTGGGAGGTTTCTCCCACAACAGCTTTCACAAGCCATTCTTTCTAAATATATGGGTTCTACACAGGGTCTCTTCCTGGCCTCCCATGTATCGGGCTTGTATGAGAAAGGTATTTAGAGGGCATGTCTACACACCGCCCTACAGCAGCATTGTTACTGCCCGTACTGCACCGTGACTGCCCGTACTGCACTGTGACTGCCCGTGGTGCACAGTTATTTTTAGCCGCTACTTCACCATAGCAGTGAGTTAAAATGGGGGAGCACACCACTGTGGTGAAGTAGCTACTACTCACCTGTAGACTCGCATGATCACCACATTGCTGTAGCATGTCATACGTCGTCATAGTTCAGGGGTCAGCAACCCCCAGCACATGTGCTGAGCACTGCACATGAGGTCATTTTGCTTGGCACCCCACTGCCAGCCTGGGCTCTAGGCAGCTGCTGTCAGCCACGAAGCCCGAGCTGCTCCCAGCAGGCAGCTGGGCAGCTGCAAGCCCTACTGCAAGCAGATCGGGCTCCGTGGTTGACAGCAGCAACCCAGAGCCTGGACCGGTTGCAGCCAGGAGGCTGCAAACATCTGCTCCGGGCTCCAGCATTAGTTCCATACCGGCGGGTGCACGTGCGCCTCGGAGTGGATGGGGGGGGGCCTGAGGCAGTGCAACCCCGGCCTCTCCCCCGCTGCTGGCACAGAGCTGATGACTGGGCTCTGGAGCCTGGTGCAGCTGTTTGTAGCCAGCCTGGGCTCTGGGCTGCAAGCAGGCTGCAAACAGCTGCCCCAGGCTTCAGAGCCCCAGCATCAGCTCCATGCTGGCAATGACTGCACATGGATCTCAAAGCAGATAGTGGGAGGGCTGTGCTGCCTCAGACCCTATCCCTGCGTGCTTGCACCCACCGGTATGGAGCTGATTGGAGCCTGGTGCAGCTGTTTGTAGCCAGCCTGGGCTCTGGGCTGCAAGCAGGCTGCAAACAGCTGCCCCAGGCTTCAGAGCCCCAGCATCAGCTCCATGCTGGCAATGACTGCACATGGATCTCAAAGCAGATAGTGGGAGGGCTGTGCTGCCTCAGACCCTATCCCTGCGTGCTTGCACCCACCGGTATGGAGCTGATTCCGGAGCCCAGAGCAGATGTTTGCAGCCTCCTGGATGCAACTGGCCCAGGCTCTGGGTAGCTGCTGCCAACCACGGAGCCCTGTCTGCTTGCAGCAGGGCTTGCAGAGCTGCCTGCTGGGAGCAGCCCAGGATTCATGGCTGGCAGCAGCTGAGCCCGCCTGACTCCCACCTGCTCCAAGCCCAACATCTGGTTTTGTGTGTTTGTCTGCCTCTGTCTGGTTCTGTGTGCGCACCCATGTGCCTGGTTGCAGATATTTGTGTAGATATGTCTGTTCTGGGTGTGTTCTGGTTCTCTGTGTTTGTGCACATGGTTCTCTGTGTGCATGTGCGTGTGTCTGGTTCTCTCTCTGCTCTTCTTTTTCTTTCTCTCTCTCTCTTTCTCTCTCTCCCCTTTCTCTTATTTATCTCTTTTTTCTCTCTCTCTCATTGCAACATGCTCAACAAAAAAGGAATACAGAACAACAAAGGCAACATTTATGATTATTAAATATACTAATATGCAGTGCGTCCTGCTATGTACCCCCATTTTGTTTTTCTGGCATGCTGGCACTCCAGCACCTTCCAAGGTAGACATAGTGGGTTTTTTCGGCACTCTGGCCAAAAAACGTTGCCTACCCCTGCTGTAGCATGTCATATGTCACCATAACATGTTGCTGCAGCAACATAGGGTGATGTGTAGGTGCACCCAGAGGAGCACTTCTGAGGGAAGAATGGATGAAACACACTGTGCCACATCACAAGGGTCTTTTTAAAAATGAAATAAGAGAAGACCTGAGAAAGTTTAGCTTAGACCCTCGTGGCAGGGAACAGAAATGAGGGACTAGAGCACAGAGCTGTGAAGGGGAAAAGGTGCCCCCTGCTGTCCCATGGAATCCATCGTAAGGCAACAAAATCAGGAATACACTGAAGCACCAGGAGTGTTTTATTTGAAGGGTTTCTTCTGGGAAATCCTGAGCATTCAAGAAGGTTTATTTTTAAAAGCATCTTGCACCAGTAACAAGTGGAGAAAATCTTTCTCCATTTATGTGTGTGTAGCTTAGGGGTGATTCCCATCCCTACGCGAGGAGAGTTATGCACCTAAAGCTCCATGCACCAAGATGAGAATAGACGCCTGAGAGTTCACACCAGGAATGGTCTAGGCCTCTTGGCAGCTGCAGAGTTATCTCCTCTTCAGTGAAAAGCCAGGCAGTATGGGACTGCAGCATCCCTAAATGAATGTGATTCGCTGTGGGACAGCCCTTTGTTCAACTGCAAACAAAGTGGCCAAAGGGATCTTACAGGAATGCTGGGTCTGCTCAGGCCCAGCCAGAGAACTGCTCTAGTTTATTGCAAGGTTTCAGAGTGGGACTAGCTTGCTTAAATATATATATCATAGTCATTCAGTAACAAAAGTGAGGACCGAATGCGGGATCTTCAGTGTGGTCTTTTATCACTTGACCTACCACAGAATCCCATTAGTTGGCAACAGGTGGCTCTTAATCTTCTATGAGCATCAGTTGCTTGACTTGATGGAGAAACATAACTGAACCAGTGAATTGCACACACACAGGCTCCTTTTTAACTAAAGGCGTCTCTTTTTCAAAGTTAGATACAAGATGCATAAAAAGTGGCTTTGTAGCCTTTCTTTATAAGTCATAATAAAGACATTTAGATTTTGTTAAGTTATTCTCTTCCTTTGGTGAATCTTGTCTTTTCTTTTTTTTATGGAAGGGCTTGAGTGATTTGGTGTATATGGGGAACTTTTTAACCATTAGCAGAAGAGATGCAGGAACTCAATAGAGAGTGCTTATCTTCAATTTAGGTAAATATGTGTTATCAAAAAGCAAAAGGCTGAATATTCTGGTAGGCCAAAAAGTTTATATTAGTCTAATTTTAAAATAATCTCTTCTGTTATCAGTTGTAAACAAGTCTCACTTCTTTTGTATTTGTGATGTTGTACTCTTACTAGTTTTCTAGTCATTGACTAGTAGTGCCTGTCAGTTTGAAGCCTAGCCTTGGTGGTGGGGCCTGGTTTCCCATCTCAACCTCCCACCAGATGGTGCCCTAGAGTCAGCCTGAATTGCAGCTACTGTATATCCAAGATAACCCTAAAGTTAAGCAGCATGGCAGCTCCAGCCCCAGCTCCAGGTCCTGGCCAGAGCTGCCACCAAGCACAAGATGAGGGGCTTTTTGCTGCAATGGACTATGTTTCTGGGGGTACACCTTCCTCCAAATTATGGGCTTGATTCCATACATTCCTTTATGCATCTCTACCGATCAAGGTATTTCAATGCAGAGGCTACCTAGTGATAAATGCTGCAGAAAAAGCTGAAGTACTCAATGTCTTTTTTACCTTAGTCTTCACAGGCAAGGTCAGCTCCCAGACTACTGCACCTGGCAGTAGTTTGGGCAGGAGATGAGCAGTCAACAATGGCAAAAGTACAGGTGAAGGACTATTTAAAAAAGCTGGATGTATACAAAT